TAGATAAGGCCTTTAAGGCGAAGACATTACGCATGGTTAGTTGTCCCACCCCATGCAGTGCCTCAGGCCACGTTCTTACATCTTATGGGCCCAGTTCACGATAAGCATGGTTCTGCGAATTTTCCCTAGAATGAACCTGGTGCCCCCAATATAGCACAATGGATGCTGTCACGTCGAAAAAGGTCTAGGATAGGGCGTAAAAAATGAATACAAATCGGCTTAGCCGACATACACAACCAAGGCGGCTCTGAGCTCTCATGGCGTTGTAGAGGCTGTAAAGGTTGCAACGTTTGCACCGGTTACAGGTTGCACGCAGACCGCTTAGTGTAGCCAGCTGTACGCAAAGACACACTAATTCGAACAGCTCGTCCAACTCAATCTAGATTCCCCAGAGTTATCGTGAACGTTGCTTCTAAACTAATTTGTTACTTTAAAGGTAAATTTTAATTTGACCTCAGGTGGAATGGGTACAGGCTTATGACAGCATCACTCGATTACTACTACACAATCAGACTACTCGCGAAAGCACGAACAGAAATTGAAATACGGCGAACTGCAAACGCTAGACACACTGTGAACTGTGAGAATTGTACTCTTCGGTACCGTAATAGGTGAACACTTGAAAAAAATAAATCACGAAATTTCTCACAATCCACTGTTACCGTATCGTAAAAGTCGGAAATCATACCCCTCGAAGTTGCTAAAAAGTAGAATAGGAACTATAGAAAGAGTAAACAGAAACATAAACACAGTAGGATAGAAACTAGAGTAAAAAGGCTAGGCGAGAGGCGCACCAGCTCAGCAAACTTACTCTAACTATATCAAAAAAAGGTAAAGCTGGCGATTCATTCAACTACAGGGTATCCTAGAAAAGGCATACTTGTGCTTCATTCAGTCGAACTTACCTCCCCGTGATGTTCCTCATTTTCTTTCAGCAGATCAATACAGTATTCTGTTACTCGCATCATGTCCTCAATTCGTTGCTGTGGACTGACGTCAACTCCCATTCGCTCTAAAAAAATGAATTATGGCTCATTGCTGTACAGTATCCCTTCCTCAATGTGGGTCATAGGCTATACCACTCTCTTGGAATCTAGCAACTCGTATTCTAACTTCCATCAACTAGTAAAGCTTGCTTCACTCTACGCAAAAAACCTCTTTGATCAATTTTGAAATGTGGATGTCACTGAGGACCTCGTTGAAGACTGGCTGCAAGGACTGAGTCACTTGGAGTCTTCTTAAATGGGTTGGCGACGAGATGTCTCATAGAAGCATACTACCTTTAACGATTTGAGAG